AATCTCACCATTTTGGGGGCCAAACAATCTCTTTTTTCAAAAGATGCTATGGGGGGGGGGCACTTTTAATGCTAATGAGCTGGTCAGAAATTCTCACTTGAATTAGTGGTCTGCACCCTGAGATATATGTGCAACCATACGTATGAAGCCAAACCACTATGGTTGTGTTTGTATTGCGCATGCCCAATGTCCATTAGACTTACGTTGCAGCCGTTCATCGTTATATCAACAGTAAAAACACCATCAATTTGTGTGAATTGCGGTAGTCAAGCGGTTACGACATAATGATATGTGATGCAAGGGGCGTGGGTTCGAATCACGAGTTGGAATTGTGGGCAGGGAGGTTTTTTTTTAAGGAAAATAAAGCCCGAATCCTATTGGAGCCTAATTTCACACGTGAAGTTTTTGGTTGGTTGAGCATCTAGATATTGTGCATGGTTGTGAACCGTGGTTTGGCTTCATATGTGTGATTGCATATATAGCTCCGTACCTTCGCAGACCTGGATGCGAGTGCGTTTGGGTACGAGTTGGCCTACTGCATCGTACGAATGCGTAAAATCACGTCAAATTGCCCGATTATCAGGCACAAACAAAAACTGTCCGTTCTCATCCATACGCTTTCCTTCTTGCATGATACTTTGTCATTAGAGCGTTCATAATATTCCTCATTATTCACAAATAGAGAAATGTCAGGGAAAACTCGGCAAAACTGAAAAAAAATCCCCTCTAAAATGTTGGCTTCACTTCCAACTTCTGGAATTGTTACTTTGGAGGTACGCGTAAGAAAGACGGGCAAAAATTGGCAGAAAAAGGATTTTTATCGTGTGCAAGTGATCATAAAGGACTTAGTGTTGAAAGTAACACTAATCGGTATGGAAATCTGGGGCACACAACTTTTTCTGAGCTTGATGTTGTTCGATTACTTTTGGGGTCCACGTGTCCAAGTCAAGGGCCATTTTACAGGCTTCTGGCTACAGTGGTATTCAATACGCATGCGCACAAACCAAGTGAGGGGCATGAACATACGTGAGCTAGCTGGAGCGCGCTGTGGTTCGCTCTTACGGGTGTCAAGCCCAGCAAAACATCCGTGCCGTCAGTGTATGTACAGTTGTGCTCAATACCCTTTTGAAAATAACATACTTTTCTAAATTCTTCATTTTTAAAAGCTATTATGTTGGTACTTCCACTATATCTTTTGTCTGTTTGTTGCAATACACAAATCCATATGTGTACTGGCTAAACTCCATTTGCATAATAATAAACATGGCCCGGGTTGCGTTTTTGCTCATGTTCAAAATATTCATACCCCAGGTTCACGTAGTCCATTGTCAACAGTACAGCCCTTGTTCTTGATGACTACCTCAAGACGGTTCTATAAGGGTCTACAAGCTTTCTGCATGTCTCCTGTGGGATGTTGGTCCACTCTTCCTTGGCGAAAGCCTCCAGCTGGGTCAGGTTGGATGGTCTCATGGCCATCACTCCGGTCTTCGGCTCACTCTACAGATTCTCTATTGGATTTAGGTCAGGACTTTGACTTGGCCATTCCAGTACATGGATGCCACTGTCCTTGAACCACTGCTTTACTTCTTTGTTGATGTGCTTGGGTTTATAATTTGTTCTACTGGTACGTCCAATTAGGTCCTAGCTGGAATATCTCAGCAGACGCGGCTTTACTTTGTCATCCAGGATCATGATATGAACCTCCTTTTTTACGGTGCCCGTATCTTATTGAAGTTCCCGGTGCCACTGGCAGAGAAGCAACCCCATAGCATTATGTAGCCACCACCGTGCTTGACGGTTGGGAGTGTGTCCGGCTTGTATGCTTCTCCTTGCTTCCACCAGACGTAGGTAATGTCCATGTGGCCAAACAACTCCATCTTTTAGGCCATTGGTTGTGATCGGTGGGTTGTTATTGGCCTCCCGGCAGATTTCTCTGGCAAGTCTAGGAGATACTTTGCACTGCCACGCCCATTGGGGTTTTTCACTGTGTTGAACCTCTTATGCTTCCTGATGATACTCTGAACTGTTGCAACAGGGACCTCATAGTGCTTGGAAATTTCCTTGTAGCCTTTACCTTCTTTATTGGCATTCACAGTACACTGGCTGCGTCTGGAGGAAGCGAGTAGAAGCATACAAGCCGAAGAACACAGTCCCCACCATCAAGCATGGTGGTCGAAACATAATGCGGTTGGGTTGCTTCTCTGCTGGGAACCTCATTAAGATACAGGGCATCATGAAAAAGGAGGATTATAGAGGGATCCCAATACGACGCTTTTAGCGTCGATCTGCGCACTTTCGCGTTTGAAAACGAGGCTGTATGTGTCGGCTGCAATTCTTAGTTCGATCAGACGATTGAAAGTAAGAAGTTGAGACACAAAATACATAAAGGTCTGTTAAATTCAGACTTTTCAGACTGCAAATTTTTGTCGAAGAGTCTTTCAGGATTACTCAACTTGTAAAATCAAAAGAAAAAATAACGACAATTGACCGCAACTAACGTACCTGCGATGGTCGTGTATCTTGTGCAGTGGGCGTGGTTTAAACTGAAGTGGCGTCACACTTACGAACCAGATACTCCATGTACTGTGTCGACTCCGCGGGCACGCGCGACAAAGTTCAACACAGAGAGCCTCGGTTTCGATGCAGATATGCGCAGACGGCGCTAATGTGAAATCCCTCTATATCATGATCTTGGATGACAAAGTGAAAGCGTCTGCTGAGAAATTCCAGCTCGTTGGACCTGATTGGACGTACCAGCAGGACAGTTAGCCTAAGCACACTACCAAAGTAGTAAAGCAGTGGTTCAAGGACAGTGGTATCCATGTACTGGAATGGCCAAGCCTGACCTATAGACCAATTCCAATATAACATCTGTAGAGGGAGCCCAAGACCGGAGTGATGGCCAGGAGACCATCCAACCTGACCCAAGGAAGAGTGGACCAACATCCCACAGGAGACATGCCGAAAGCTTGTGGACACTTATAGGAACCGGCTTGAGGTAGTCATCAAGAACAAAGGTTACGCTATTGACTATGAGCAAAAAAGAAACTTGGGCCGTATCTATTATTATGCAAATGAAGTTCAGCCAATACACATTTGGGTTTGTATATTGCAACAAATAGACAAAAGATATAGTGGAAGTACCAACATAGAAGCTTTTACAAATGCAGAATTCAGAAAAGTATATTAATTTCCAAAGGGTGTGAATACTTTTGAGCACAACTGTATGTAGTCGCTTGACTTAATTCGAAACCTGGGGCTTATAGCACTGACTGCCCGATTGTTTTAAGGGAGCGATTCTATAGTTTGACTGCACATGCGCATACCGAACACAGCCAAACTGTCAAAAAGATTCGGAACTTCGGATAGCATCGGACCAAACACCGTCAAAAAGATCGGATGCTTTCTCAATTCGGATGCTTTTTCAATATTCGGATGCTTATTAACGTCATATCCCTCCGAAATTCGGATGCGTTTTAAAGTCGGATGATTGCCAAATTTGGATGCTTTCTGAATTCGGATAAAATGCGGAAGCCGAACTCGAAACCCTCGGCTGTTTATTGTCGGAGAAAATGCATTCGAATCTACAAAACGTTAGGTCTGTCAAATTTCATTCGGATTTCGGAAACATGCTAGGTCTGAAAAATTTCATCCAAATCTTCAAAACATGTTAGGCCTGAGAAAATTTACTCGAATCTTAAAAACATATTAGGTCCAAAAATTTATTTGTATCTTAAAAATATGTTAGGTCTGCAAAATTTCATCCAAAAAGATATATTAGGTTCAAAAGATTTCATTCGGTTCGGAAAATGAACTCAAAAATTCAAAATACGGACTGTTTTAAAAACATTATATTAACAAAAAAATGATTTTTAAAAAAGCATTTCATTTTGGAAAACATGTTCCGATCTTTTTGACTTTAATTCTTATTCGTAAATTACCCCCTGATCGGTCGAAAAAGAGCCGCGATGGTCTGTAGTCTGGATACCAGACCGATGATTCTGACTACCCGACGAATCAAGGGTCCTGTATCGCCCAATGTCACGTGACCAGGACTGGAGGAATTCTTCCAGTTTTCCGGAAATAGCCGAAATACTCCGAGGTACGTCGTCCTGTCTACATTCTGCATGTTCGGATGGTACCGTTGATGTTCGGTTATTCCCGGTCGGGTAGGTGGGCTTGTTGAACGTAAACCGTCAGCAATCATGCATTGGCATATACCAACAAAGTTACTAACAACTTACTTGTTGATGGGTATGTGCGTGGAAGGACTGTTGCTTTACAAGAATTGATCAACTAAAAGAATTTCGAAAATGCTTATGTATGATTTTGATTTTTCTGAGATTTTTTCAAGTGCGCCTCAATAGGGAACACTCAGTTTACTTGGAACCACAATGTAAGGGAATAAAACCGAAAACATCCGGGCTTTCAACTTGTAACCTCTGACCCTTGCGCCATATCTATTCATATCCGTGGGCGATGCCTGATATAAGATTCTTTATCAAGATGGTCAGGAAATCTTTGGGCGGGGAACCTAGACTAGATGGTCGGAATTGTTCAATTTGTTGGTAGCGATGCGAGCGTGACGCATGCATTTACTAGTCGTTCGTTAACCAGCGAAGTTCAGCTCTAACCAAAGGAGTCTCCGTTGCTAAGAAAGTAGCGCTCTCTCTTGATCCAGATAGGTGCTCAAAGCCTACGTCTACACTGTCCTCCTTTTTTTTCTCAGAAAAGAGCATTGGGATTTGCGGAGCAGTTTTACTTTTCTTGACGTCTACCGTTTCATATAACATGCGGCCTGAAAGACGACCCGTTATGTGTGCGATAGACACCCGCACCGTCGCCAAGGCAACTCATCACACTACGGTAAATTGACGCGCTTTTAGCTGCTGAAATCATGGAGCAATAGATGCATTACGTCTCAGGTGTGAGCCCCAGGCACAATACAATTATGCAAGTTGGTTCTTGAAGCACTGGTGCGTGAAACAACCAATAATATATAAAAAATGTGGCCGTTGTGAACAGGATCTTTCGCTGTGGAGAGCATCAGATGATAAGTTGCACAAGCACGACTGGAGGAACGCAGTACTGGTGTATACGCTATATACACACTGCTTGCTCCTAGGCGCAAAGAAGGCAAGTGTAATCTTTTATTTCTCCAACTTTTTTTTATTAGCCACATTTCTGCGTAATTTTTCATCACACCTCTGTGTAACTCAATAAAATCCACCACTAGGCATACACGTCGGCTATATTCACCCGCCACCCAAAGCTACAACGATAATACCATAAGCTCGTTTTGCACCATATAATACTACCCAGCTAATGGCTCCTTGCCTGTCGAACATATTTTGTTCGTAATCCATTGGTAGCAGGGAAAAAGGAAAACTGGCTATGCGTATAGGTTTACGGGTTAAAGAAATAGCATTAGCTGGTAAAACCAGTGATACGTGGTTGTACAGGAAATCCAGCCCTCATTCAGGAATTTTACAATAAACAAAAGTTGTAAGCTACATCAATTCGACTATTATTAAAGTTAAAAAACGTATATTTATATAGTTCTTGACTGTAAATAAAAAACTTTTTTAATGTTGATATAAGCATCACTTCGATCACTTGAAATTTTGAAATTGGAGATAAGTGCGAACCTAGACTATTTTTATGATATTTTCAACATGTTAAAACCGGGATGTGCTGTTTGGTCTCTGAAAGGGATGGCATAAATCACTTTTAATATTTTTATTCTGTAAAGGAAGAACCGGGTCTTAAAGTGCAAAATTTGTAGGTAAAGAAATCAAAAAGTGACAAATTCATCATTATACCAATAGTGCATGAAAAATTAATTACGCCCAAAATATGTGACTAAAATCACTCCATGTGTTTTATGTTTACGTGTAAATATAACAATGACTTTCCAAAACAAGGTAATACTAAGGGTCTTGCTCTCTGACCCCAAATTGTGTCAAATCGTAGTTTTGACATACTCCACAAGACATCGTCAGCAGCCTAGAGATATATCGTAAGGGTGCCGATTCACGCATTTTGGTATGGATTTTGGTATCTGTTCAGAATTACTCAAATTGTAATGACTATTTTCATGCACTTTGAACTGACAAGGTTGACCAGCGAGAATCATCTAGTTGTACCAACTACTTCCAGATACCATTCTCGTCAAGATAACATAGTTTTCGTCATGATTCATTAACACGCTCTGTGTATAATATCAAATTTCCAATTAACATTATGACATTCAGTGGACGACTCGCTAAAACAAGTCGAAGATTGGGCACAAGACTCAGTCATGAGAACCCCAATGATCTTCATGCACGAACGCTAGAGTGAATAAACCATAAAAAACTCCCATCCTGTTGCATGACGTATGCCCACCACTGACCTAGTTCAGTGTTTTTGTGCTGAGCCTTCTCCTCATGCAGCAACGAGATTGCATGGTTTCTGTTGTGAAAAAACGCATCTACCTTCTCAGTTTTCTTTCGCGTAATAGTCATTTCAGAGTGCCATAGCAGCTGGAGCACATATCTTCAGAGGTGTGAGTGTTCCTGCTGATGGCCCTGACTTCGAGCCAGTGCCCTGGGTTAATTAAGACACTTTGTTAGGACAATGAACTGCTTCGCGCCTGATTGAAATCGAGTGGGTACATGTGATATTACGGATGGAGTACTTGAGTGACCGTTTTGTGCTTCTGTTTGTGAGCCGGTTGTGTAAAGTGCTCACTTTTAGTCTCGGAATGACAGATTCCTGTTAATACCATTTCTTCCGGCCACACAGGAGCGTCGATCCGCACATACCTAATTCTGAACTAAACCATCAACGACTATACTTTACGACTTCCGAGCAACGATAATTGGAAAGCGTGAGAAATGGATCAAAGGGTGATACTCATTGATAATCATTTTGGTTGTTTTGTTACAAATTATGACTGTTTACGTTGAGGGGTCTACTTGTGCTACACAATTGTGTTAGAGAGTGCGAGGTGACTACTGCGGGAGGGCGCTTTCTAGCCGGTTGTAGAATTCACTGGACAGCCTGCGGTTAAGAGAATGAAAGTCGTCAAGTGGGGCGCGGTCGGGCTTGGCACCTGCAGGCTCTTCTGATTCCGGAATGTCTCCATCATCAGTGGGTTCACTGTCTGCCTCCAGATTCGCATCGCCATCGTCATCATCATCATCGGTGGGCCCTTCATCCGGATCAGTCTCCTCGTGACTAGCCACTCCAGCAGACACGGTCGTGGCAGGCGAGGAGGCGTTGCCATCTTCATCGATGTGGAACTCGTCCGACAGGTTGAGCTCCTCCAGCTCCTCGGTCGGAGGAGAATCATCTGCATCCTCGTCCTCATCGCCCACAGTCTCTGGGGGAGAAGGGATCTTGTCATCCAGACCGTCTTGAGTGTCATCAGTGATAAGATTGTCTGGGGGAGGAGGGAGCACCTCGACGTCTACTTCACTGAACGTCACACGGGATGGTGGACGTCTTTGTAGAAGCTGGTAAGTATGATCGCTGGCTGAACCGGTAATGGCGTTTCGGCTTCCGTCCTCAGTGGAAAATGGGTTCACAATCCATGCCTCCGTTGCTTTGTTAAGAGCTCCTTCTTCGCCCTGCATGATGTCCAGTTGTGAAATAGCCCTATGTCTGTACTTGTACCCACACATCGCCCCGACCAGGAGAAGGCTCACACACAGCAAGCCTATGATCAGGAAGATGAAAGCCTCGATCAGAGTCTCAGCTTGCCCCACGGTGAGAGCAAAGCCTAAACCCTTACCGATTACGGGATCCTCACATGACGACGCTGATGTAACTGGTCGGGCGGGGCAAGCCGCTTCGGCGGAAGCTTCCAACTCATCTAGGTACTCACACCAGAAGTAGACTCGGTCACTGCGGTACCGCTGAGCTATCTTCTCCTGTAAGACATTCGTAGTGACATAAGTCTCGGTGTCGCCGTACTCAGGCCAGGTCTGGCTGGTGTTCGATGAATCTTGCCCGTCGTCCGTATTTGGGTCTCTGTTCAAAACGAAGATACAGTTTTAATTAGTTGACGTCCTTCACAGATAAAAGCAAGACCATTAATCACCTTTCAGATAGTCACTTGTAAGAAACACAACAACCACTTTTAAGAGTGCAAGTATATGTATATCACTTTTTATTATAGAAAGACGAATAAAACTAACTTAAGTTAATAATAGAATTTGTTGATGAAACGTGGCCAGGAGTAAACATGTGTATATATCCAGTCACCAGTAGTCGTAAAATAAAAATAACGTTTACTGGCTGTTAAGATGCCATTTCACCATTTTTTAAGAGTAAAAAAAAAAACTCGCCGAAGGTAAGAGGACAATTGTCAAGTTTGTCACCCCGTAGTTTAAGAAAACTTAGTTCTGCTTGATTTGGGCTTAAGTGTGGTTTAAGAAAAACTAAGTTCTTTGGTTTAAGAAAATAAAGTTCTGTTTGGTTTGGGCTTAAACTTTATTTGAGACACACACTCATCAATGCTCGGACACAATGAACTGAGCCACAATATACAACGAGCGGTGACAAACATAAACATGTCCAAGATTTTAAATAACATCCAACGTTTGGATTGAACAGATGCATACAGATTTAGCATTGTTTATCACAAGCCAATGCTAACAGTAACCGGTAAATAACAGGCCCTTCACCAGTCTAGTAAGAAGTAAAAGTGCAGGAACATAATTGCAGAAAGAAACGTCTCTGTATCAGATTACGTCACTTGGATAGCTTGAAACTTGACATCAGACTGGATATGATAACCTGTGAGGTTTATAACACCGCCCGTTACGATGATCCAGTAAAGCGAGGTAATTCAGGAACAAAGCACGCGCACAATTACGCAGAGGGCGACGCTGATTGGACAGACCTCGCACGCACGACCGACTTACCTCAGGTCACACCATAGACGTATAAACGCATAGACCGCCAGGTCCTATTTAAAACTACCGGGGGTTTTCGTGATCTGTGCGAATAAAAATAAAACTATGTGCACATTCACTGCTCGGTGTAGGGAATTTACGCAGAGATGAGGAATTCCAGCCGTAAAATTCTATGAAGCCATTTTTCCATTGTAAAAAAAAAATCCTCTCCTTAATTAATATGGCCCATAGGGATTCAACACAACGCGGTTGCAACATTTGAAAAGAAGGTATCAGTACAGAAGAGCAAAAACGTTGAACGTATTTTGGAAGCACAGATAAATCTATATAAACACAGGCAATGTAAGTGCGTTGCGCGTAATGGGCGCTGAACGCGCTGCCATCCGTCGCTTCGCTCGTTGTTTGCCCATACTTTTCAAAATCACGGCTATAAGCCCAAGATGGGTGGTCTATTTGTTTATGTGTCTGAAGGGTACACTTCATTTTGGCACGCGCTGTTGGAATACCGAAATGGCTCGTTATACAGGGGGTCACTTCGCGTTTTCAGAAAATGTTATGTGCTAACAGAACTTGGAATTATGTACTGCGGTAAACTGTCGTTAAAATGATAATCAGCAAAACAACACATTGAACACGCTTCCAGTTGGTGACTTTGGTGGTAACCAAGAAAGGAAACTCAAAATATCAATCCAACTACCATAAACACTGCGCGAAATAAAAATAAAAACGAAGGAATTCGTGGCTAGGCTGTTCAGCGTTAATGTGGTTGCATAAAATGTACCGGAAGTGGCGAGAGTGGGCTAAGTACAAATGTTGAGTTTTTAGTGGAGGTCAACGTATAGCATTTAGCCATAAATTTATAGCTCGAATTCTACAAGGTAATATCTTGAATTCGAGCAGTAATTCTTCGGAGGTTTAAGGCATTTCCCCCCTTTTTTAATCTCTTAAAGAATGCTGCTTGTGTTTGGTACATGTACAGATATTGGATTTTCTTCTATGGCTTTTGTGAACATACTAATTTAAATTTAAAGTGTGGTTTCAAAGGTTATCAATGCTCCTATGAAAAAAATTACTCACCCAGTTTTGGCAAAGTTGGATAAGTATCGTATCATACGACGGCTGAGCTCCAGTTCATCGTCCGTGAAGTTCCAGGAGTCATTGAACGGCAGTCCGAAAACATACGGCAGCTCTGCACCGTGAGGCACCAGGTCGTACGGCTCCGGGAAACGACTCTCGGACGACGAGCGGTGGTCAAAAATCATGAGTCGGCGTGAAGATAGCAGGGGCTGCAGGGTACGCAGTGACTCGACGCCGTAGCGGCAAAAGGTGCGGTCAAATTGGGCGTCGAAAAGACCCCTCATCCGTGCGATACTCTCATTCCTTCGAACGTATTGTTGCTCGACAGCTTTATCGATCAGCTTTGGTCTGTCGATGTTGACATCCAACCACTGCTGCCATTGGCCCTCGGTCGAACCCTTAGTGAGGTTGAATTCTGGGAACAGGTCTTTCATGAGTTCTAAGGCCACAGAACCATCGCCAGAATTGAAGATGGAGAGGAAGTCGTAGGTCATAGAGTTCCCAGGCTGTCTCACGAAAACCTCGCTGGTGGACACAGGGCGCCAGGCGAAGGATGACTTTTTCTGTATTGATAAATAAGGGTCAACCGTTTTCACGATATCTTCCACTTGTTTTCTCCGAAGGCACTCCACCAGAGGACCGCTGGATTTGCTCGGACAACCGGCCAATTGGGCCAATAGTTTTGTGTCCGCAATCGCCTCGGCGGATTCCTTGAGACCTTCAGGGCCGACAACACCGCTATGTGCTACCACCCGGTGGAAAAGGGCCCGGCTACCCTTAGCAAACATGTGCAGGGTAGGTGCACCGTGGACGTCGGACTGACCCACGAGGGTCACCATGGAGGGATCGCCCCCGAAAGCTTGGATGTTATCCTGCACCCATTGTAGGGCTAGTTGCTGATCCAACAAGCCAAAATTTCCCTGCGCGTGTTCGTCCCCCGTGTACAAAAACCCGAATGGACCAAGCCGATAGTTCATCGTGACAACGACGAGGTCTCCCATTACGGCGAGGTACGAAGCATCGTAGGCACTTCCCAGGCCGCTGCGGTAACTTCCTCCGTGAATCCAAACCACCACAGCCAGGTTCGAGTTGCTGCTCAAGTTGACAGACGGCGTGTAGACGTTCAGCGTCAGGCAATCCTCACTTATTTCCATAGCAGCACTAGGGATCTGAATCTGGTCCGGTAAAAACGCAGTGATGCGCGCTGCATCTTGAGGGCAGGACGGACCGTACTTTGTTGCATTGAACACATCCCGCCATGGGGTTTTGGCGACTGGAGCGCGGAAACGCAATGTTCCACTGGGCGGCTCGGCGTAGGGTATCCCTGCGAAGATATAGCATGTGGTCCCGTTCACCTCTCGCTTAAAACCATGGACTTCTCCAGCTGTGGTATTAACAACCGGGTTAGCATTCACCTTATAGGCAACTAGTGCCCACACAGCCAGAAATAAACTCAATTGCGCCATTTCCTGAACAAAATGGTTGCCTTACTGTGTATAAGAACAGCCTACACTAACATTGCCGGACAGTGAGCAATTATACACCTTGGTAACTTCACTGCAGACGGAACAGTCGAAGTTTTTCTTCTCCCCTGTGGAGGTCGCCTGGTGCCAAGTCCCTTTTTTGTTATGCTAATACCATGAAGTTCACTCACATTGAGGCAAGGGCGAGGTTTGATGCTTCATGCTGCTGTACATTGTTAAAATCATTCCAGGTGACCGCAAAGGGACAAAAGTGCAGATTTGTCGTGCAGGTATGCAGTTATTGAATTCTGTAGTGAAGATTTTTTATTATGTTCCGCATGTCTCCCTCAAGTGCATTGTATGCATTGAAAGTAGAGGAAATAGGCAGCCATTTTAAGCACATATTCTCTCTCTACTGAGATTTTATGGAGTTTGATTTAAAATTATTATACCATACATTCGAATGACACTAAAGGCTAGTCGCAGTCACCCAATAGCCGACTTGCCTCCTGTTATGGGTTACAGTAGCTGTTGAACTGTAGTCTCCCATAGTTTACGAAAAATGTACTAAGTTTTGAAAGTGGGGCAATGGATGCAACTCCACACAGTGATAGGAAAAGCGGCAGTTGTAATGGCTCTCGAAAGCCTGGAGCTCACTCCTGCGTGTCGTGACAGGTTGGGAAACCACTGCTTGACTGTCTTCTTGCAAAGCTTTTGGCTTTTGGCCATGTCCTTTCTTTCTTTTCTTTTTTGGGGAGGGGTTGTTCGACCAGCCAACTCGTAGGAACAACTCAGCAAACAATTTTCAGCCCGTTTTTTTTCGTTTTGCCGATGAATGTTCCACACAGCCACCTATATTTCAAACAGCACTAGCCAATGTTGTTTCCCACGCACTACACACACACTTGGGTTTTGCCAATAGTAACAGCTAGGCCTACATGACAGTCTGAGTATTGCCATTGAACAGTAGCCTATTGTAATGCGAAGTTCGCACGAACTCCGTGGGATTTTACTCCATCAAACATTAAACGCCAGTGAGCCTGTGCCCTAAGAAAAGAAAAACCTTGCCTGATTGTATATGTTTGGCTGGGGTTAATCCACTGGTGGCAAGGGTTTTGTATGATTTGGGTAGGAAAAAAGTGTATTCTCCCCAATGGCAACAAACGTACTGCAACACAATTTCAAGTTAATTTTTGCAAACTATATGGTTTTGTAGGCTATGGGTTTTAGCATTAAGTCGAATTCATCTTTATCCAGAGTTATAGACATTCATTCAGGAATCAAAATTCAACAACCTGTAATGTACAAACCATACATAACACAGAAAACATATTCTAGTTTCAGATTTTTTTCCTAAGGCCAAACAGTTTCAGTAAATTTTAGGAAGCTCTGTCAGAGTGACCCCAAAAAGTTTTTGATACGACGCAGAATGACGTAATGTTGTTTTAAGGCACCTTCCTGAGATAGTTTTTTTTGCGGGGGGGGGGTCCAGGCTTACACGAAAAAAATCTGAGCTGAGCGATTGATGATGAAATCCCCAAATCTACGGATCATGGCCAAAAACAGGCGGCCGGGTCGGGGCTGGAAAATTTCCCTCTATAAGGGGTGCTGCTTACTATGAGGGGTATATTTACGCAGTGCGCGTTTTCGCCCTTTCCCGACAAAACCAAGAATTACACATGAAATATGAATCAACGTCTTAGCTACTTTTACGACAATCTCCTTGAACGAGACACTGCCCTTGTTTTGCCCTTGATTGATCGCTTGCGTGCTCCAACCTTTGCTGTTCAGACCCAAAAGTCTTCAACGCCCTGTCTAATTTTTGTTTCTGGCATGTTTTTCTGCTGGTGGTGTCATACTTACTAATTTTATTCATGACATGCATTGCCATGACAATTTCTCTAAACACTGTGTTGTCATCAGGAAACATCACTCTACACACGATGCTGCTATGCTGGTCCTCAGTGAGTATCTGCAGGTGGATTTGACTCGATGTCTTCCAGTCCCTGTTCTCATCCTGGCCTGACTGACTCCGATCTGCCGGTATCTCTCTCTGTTCGATTCCCCGTCGATCTGTCGTGTTGATTGCCCACCTGATAATGCTGGCTGGATTAGAACCAGACGTGTTACAGGTGAATCGGTAGTAATGACCGATTGTGACATCCGCGCTGCAGTCGGTGTCGCTATCACAGGAGTGGGTGGAGTTTATATCCAGCGTCACGCTGTTCGGTGGATGAAATTACAGATACGAAATGATTGCCATGTAGTTAAACTAACTGTTAAACGTTTAGCTATCCATAATGGGCTAGACTCGAAAATCAAGAGAATAAGACCAAGACGGGAAGAAAAAAATCTGTTCTTGTTAACTTTGTGTTATACGAGTTAATTTTCTTGCTTGTTTTCCTCCTATCTTGTCCTGTCTGTGTTCGTGGTTTGGGAGTAACATTATTTTCCACCAACAACAGTTCTCAATAAAAATCCAAGACTTACACCTTACATGTAGTGTCATAGTTTCATTTGTTGAAAGAGGGACCACTTTACGCATTAGCGACGAGCCTGTATTGTTCCTGTGCAGCGTTAGAGTTAGTCGACTCTCTGTCCTTATCACTGTCAGATGGATGTTCGACACCTGTTCTCCGTGAGAAACCAGATTGCATACGCTCCACCGATTTTTTGTTCTCCTTTCAATGTGCACCTGAACTGGGTTCCTTGTCCTTCTATTTCATATCGACTTATTCCGGACAGCACCACCTCCTGTGAGGAGACTGTGAAGGAAATAAGAGAGACAATACACTAGGCAGTCCGCAGGTTGACCCAGGCATATGCAGCAAGGTATGAGACGGAGAGAACCCCCCCTGCTTTGTGTTGATCATTGTCTCGCAGTAATCTGGGGAATCCCTTTCAGACATCTTGGGGGGGGGGAATGTGTTAAGTAACAATAGTCTGGAATGTGTATAGGGATTGGACATGTGGGGGGTACCCCTCGGTCTCATTTCTTGCTGGGAATAGACCCAGGGGCACATTGTGCCAGCCTGCACCTATGCAACCCATGTTCGGATCTTACTTAGTCTAGGTTCCAAGACCTTCCATAGTTCATTCCTCGATCTATGACACTAACCCCTCAGGAAAGTCTTGGATACTTGATCAGGGGCGGCAACAGACTATGGTAATAACGGTAGGATATGCATTATTCATATCACGTGAGTGATGATCGGCGGAGTTATGCAAATAACCTTCAACATGCATGCTTCCCTTTTCACGAACGACGTTTTTCAAACTGAAATATCAGCCAACATCATGTTTTATTTTTTTTTTTAGACGCTTTGAGTTAAGCACTCACAAATATCCTTCTGTGGTCTGGGGCAGTTGCCAAGAACTTACGATTAGCGCAGATAACCGAAAATTTTGAGCCATTTTCAATTTTTGCCGTGTTGCACACTGTCGCCCACAGCACAGTGCCGATTAGTCCCACATGTAGGATTGTGAATCGCTGTCTTTTGATATGTGCTGTTATATTGTCACCATCACTGTTATGGCGACAATATTAGAAAAAATGTGAAAGGAGCAGAGTCATTCACAGCCCTACGCGTATGGCCAGGTCACAATGTATGACATCTCCGCTCCTTTAGCACAGCAAAATTTGACCCATTTCTCCCCCAAACTGGAATTTACAGGATGAATATTCAACAAAATATTTGAATATGGAAATGATCTATCGGCGTGTCTTAAAGGCTTGTAAAAACCACCTAACACAGCATTTTACGCAGAAATGCTTGGACGAGACCGGCACGCCATTTTTGTTTGTCAATACTAGGCTGAGAAACGCCACAAATATATGAATAATTCGAAGCAGTGCTTTCCCCGGAAAGTAGGGGGGGTGGACATTGAAACATATTAGCACTACCGAACAAAATGTGCAAGATGAAATCTCAACCTGACAGACATCGTGACGGGCAGGTAAACCTTTGGTGTTCATTGTTCTGAATCCTTGAGTTTCTCCATAATGTGCTTGTGGTCAGCAGGTATCATACGGTTAGTGTGTATAATACACTGCAGTTTAATATATCGTCCTATTAGTACTATAAGGTCATTAACAAAATATGTGCACTAAAAGGTCGTTAATGAATTTTTTTTAACTTGAAATACAAGCAAAGTCCAGGTGGAGATTTGAGAAAAAGTCCCCCACATGATTTTTATTAATAAAATAATGTGGAACATTATCTGTTTCTTTATAAAATTCCTTCATGCTTAGAATAGGGCCCTAAAATTATTTTAAAATCATCAATGCTATAAGGTCGTTACTGCCATAACGACCTTATAGCACTGACCAAACGATACATTTCTTTTCCCCTTGTTTTGCTTTACGCGATGTGTTTTGTTTGTTCTACGGGAAGAACGATGCCAGTAATACAACCTGCCTTGTGTAGAAAGTGAATGGTTGCCACAACGAAGTATCGGGTATGTTTTTGAATAACAAACCCTTGTGCTCATTACATTTACATTACAAGTATATTATTTTATATTTATAACAGACATGGCATTATACAAAGTACAAGTTCCCTTTCACTTTTTTGAGTGACGTCTGGGTAACACACTAATTGATTTTTCTTCCTGGTAGCAATTTCAGTAGACCAATAGGTAAGTGAGGTCAGTTGTACTTGGCACGAACTGCAATTTGCAATAATTTCAATCCGTTGCATTTGTTTTAAAAAATGGCTGATTCATTACATTCACAGTTCGGAGCAGACCCAATTTTAAAAGGACGTAAGTGCTAGCACTTATTCTCACTGAATCTCGTTCATCATTGTCTCTAGACAACGTACCACCCATGAGACAGGAAAATGGCCCTATCTCTTGCCCAAAATCTTTGTAGGTTTCTGAACAGCATTTGGGACAGAAAATGTTGATTTTTAATTTTTGGAAACATTCAAGGTGCTGAAATTTAAGCTGCCTGCTTCAGGTCATTACGTTTCTCTACAACGCTACATCGTTTGCATATCTCCTGCAACTAGTCGATAATTATGTGCAGAAATAGCGATGATTGGCAGCAACTCGAGGAGGTTTTGTGCTGTACATGAACCCAAAATTTAAAGGTTTAAAATGCATA